TAGAGAGAAATTACAATGGAGAGAAAGTAGAGAGAAATTACAATGGAGAGAAAGTAGAGAAAATAATCTATCTTTTTAGATTTATTTTTGAGATATTTATAGGATATTTACATAAAGTCATCTTAAGATTACAACTTATTTTGATTGGTGCTTGAGAGGTCTATTTTTAATAAAATTGGGCCTATCTTATTTTTGGTTGGAATCCTTTTAAAATATTTTCACATGTCTAAATTCTTAAAGAACTCAATTTTAAGTATAACACACACCAACTAGTCTTTTTTGTAAGATCTTTCACTTTTATTTCAACAGTTAAAATATTATTGGTGTTTAGTTAAGTGAATATATATTTTTTAAATGACATGAGTGTTTGGGATTTTCACCCAATTCTAACCTTTGCAAGTCGCCGCTTTTGCCGGCATTAAGCAAATTTTCACCTTCAAAGTATTTATGCGGTCCATTGAAACTCTATGCATCAAAATGATAATATAAGAACTTATATATTCAAACATATTCGAACATAGTTGAATTTCAATCTTACTACTCGAGTTAATCTTAATAAATTTTTCATTATCAATAATTGTTATTATTTATAATTAAAACACTTTTATTTAAATGACAATTCATTTAGACACAAATATTTTACATAATACTTATACAAAATTTTAACTATTTATCTATCAACTTTCAATGCTTGAAATTGATTTATATGAGTAGGCATTCATTTATATGCAAGTCTTATACCCTATATCTATATAAAATCTCAACAATAGTTAACATATATTCATATTTATTAAAAATAAATATTTCTAATATAAAAAGTCATGATAAATTTCAACTATTAAAAATGAAAAAATAAATTATCAAAATTTTATATATGTGTAGTGTGTAATATTTATATGTAAGTGGGTAATTTTTTATTTATATTTATTAAAGATTAATTATCTTTTTTATTTAAAAAATTATGATTAATCTTAATTATCAAAAGTGTAGAAATACACAATCATAATTTTTTATAAATGTAATATTTAAAACTTATACGTAAATAAATCTTTTTTTTATTTATCTAATTAGAGAAAATAACAATTAATTATTCTCCAACCTACACCGAATGAGAGCATGCAGCATAACAACAGTTATGTAAATGTTCCATGTAATCAATCCTTTTATTAGAAAATCAAGAAGTTGGACGCCTTGATTAGGAAAAAAATTACCATCCTTGGATCATAAATAAATTCACGAAAGTTGATATTCCTATATATTCATTGGGTTTTCCCTAAATGCCTTATACATTTCCAAGTTTTCAAGTAAAGAAATAATTAGCAAAGCAAGCAAAGGTGAGAATACGGCAAAAGAAGAAAATGAAGGACATCCAAAGTAAGAGAAGACTCCAAAGAATATATTAAACATGTTACCCGCATGCGCACAATAGCGTAGCCAAGATTTATAAGCAAGGTACAAGCCATAAAGAGAAGACTCGAATAATATACCAAACATGTTACACTCATGTACACGATAGCCGAACCAGGATTTAGAGGTGAGGGTATAAGTCACAAATATATATATTAATTTAAAATTACAATATTTTTTATATATCAAATTATAAGTTATATAATAAAAAATAATTCTTCTTTTCATTTATCTTAAAATTTATGTTAATTATAAGATAATTCTTAATTAACTAACTATAATGGGTATTTATTTCAAAATTTACATTTAAAAATTTTAGTATAAAGATTCAAGTTTTTAATTAATAAAAAAATATTCTTTAATGAAATGAAAATACCACGTTAATGAAATCCCTACCTACAGAAACGATGACAAGTTGTTTAAAAATAATGCCCTGACTGACAGCTTTAACTAACCAAGCAATTCAATTGCAACTAAGTTAGAGTTTAAAATGCCTAAACATGATATTCCACATCACTCTCATCGCCTCCTCCGGCGATTCATTGGCGAAAGATCTCACACTCCTACCGTTCGATATTTTGATATCCAAAATCAATTTACAAGAACGATAAGAAAATGTTTAAGAAAAAAGATTTTGAATCTCAAAGATTTGATTAGAATCGATCATTTCGAAGCATCGTGTAAAATGTAACATCGATTTAAGATCTCAAATCCACAAAAATCAATTGGAGAAGCTGTTTGATCAATCGATCTGATCAACGACGACGATCTTTAACTAACGAAGCAATACAATTTTAATGTTGAACAAAGGCCAGAACCACAACCCCATGGTCTTCTACAAGTACGCGGATGCCTGCACATCTTTCTCGCTCTATATATATATATATATATATATAATGCATCTAATAACCAGATATACAACATGTGATATACAACTAAGACATTAAATCTCCAGCTCTTATTTGTTTGTTTATTCTTTTTCTATATATATTTCTCTTTTTTTCTTTTTTCTTTTTTTGAGATTTTGACTACATGAGATTAACTTAATTTATTATTATTAAACAATTAAAAAAATTTATTAACTGAGTATAAAAGATACTCAAACCTATAAACAACTCAATCTCTGCGTCTCCAAAGCATACAATCATAGCATCAAACAAAGTACACGAAGGTTCCAAAAATACCGCCCTCATGTGTGTGACTACCAATGCCAATTTCTAAGTTACAAACGCACCCACTGGATATAAAACATGATCATGGAAATGCATTCCTGCTGTTCCCCATCTTCCCTGAGCCACTTTCCATATATTGGACAGGGTTTTGCAGCCCAATCCGAATAATCGAAACATAACCTATAACTCGTTGATTGTGGTAGAACTAGCAAAAATCAACCTAAACCATTCTGATGACTTCTTCTCTCCATCTTCCAAAACTGGACTGGGCTACTTCTGCGTGAGGCCCAGGATATGGGGGGCCTAGCCCTAGTATGTGAAAACCCGTGTACTTGGGTTCAGTGAGGAAGGGAAACGAAAACAAAAAACAGAAAAACTAAATGGATTACCTGTGCCGATTTAGGGGAAAAAATATTGTTTGGTGTACCTAAAAAAAAATATTAATAATAAAATTCCTTCCTGTAGCAATCATTGACTCCATGCGTTGGTCATTGGTGTTTTAAGAATGGATTGTTTATTGAATTAAAATTTTTAGCTTTAATTTTATATTAAAATTTTAAAATTAATAAATATTAACTTGATTCAACTCTGAGTAATGGAACGGACGCACGTATGCATTAATCTCTCTATTGCAATGGCTACTTTGGTGTTTTAAGAATGGAGTGTTTCTCTTGCCTCGTTTGGTTTGGTTTCCAATGCAATGATCATTGAGTCTACGTACTAAAAACAAAAAAAAATTAAAAAAAATCAATAATCTTGTGATTTATTAGATTAATTATTTCGTGGAAATTAAAAATTGATTTGAATCTAAAAACAAAAAGTAGTTTAACTACTCCCATAACTCGTGCAATTCACGAATGCAAAATAATACAGTATTCCCTAAAACATAGATCTGCAAAATACAATATTTTAATCTCATAATTATTTGTTCTAGTTCGGTAGACCCCGTCTTTTTTTCTTCTCAAATCAAAGTGAAAGATACAGTATAATCTTATAATTTATTAAATTAATAACTCGTGAAAAAATTAAAACAAAAACATTTCTAAACATCTTAATTTTTTTCCTTAAAAAAATAGGAGTGAGAACCATGTAGCATGAAGTCATGAGCTCTATTTTCCTTCTTTCTCGAGCCTCATTTGACAAATTTTTGCAGAGCTGGAGAAACTGGAAAGTGATCACATTCTCCCCCTCAGACAGGGGTGTATTAATGATTTTACTTTTATCCCTTCAACAACATTAAACAACTTCTAATAAAATATTAGGTTCACTGACTACAGTATGATTATATTAACTAACATTTACAATATTATAACATTTTCTTGTGAGAAATAATTTATATGTAATTAAAAAGTAAGTGAACTTTTGAATATGATATAAACATTCAACGTAAAAGTGAATTTTTGTCTATAAAATGCCTATTAATTATTTTTTAACTAATCGGTGTAGATTCCTTTAATTATAATAATCTTATGTTTTTGTATCGATCTGCAAATAAATTTATGAAAAAGAAACAAAGGGTACCTTGATTTTTTATATGGATATTCTTTATACAAACTATCAAACACCATCACTCTCTATGAATATTAAATCCTATGCCTTTCAAAATACAAATAAAGGAACTGGACCCAATTACTAAATGAAAAGGCTAAACTCTCTTCTTTATGGTTATCCTTTCAGCCACACAAATGACTTGACTTGTATGAAACCAAATACTCTACGTCTCTACCTCATCCATCTGTTCTTTTCTAAAAATGATTCCATTCCTCGCCATCCAGATAGCCCATAACACTCCACCAAAAATTAGGGATCCTACTTCAATATTTATTTTGTTGAACATTCCATAGAAAAATTGTAGACACAAGTCATGGATTGAATCAGGGTATATAAAAAGCACACCCCACCACTTGGAAACAGTCCATCCAAACTTTGTAAGAGTAATCACACTTCAAAAATAGATGGGCTGCACTGTATAATGATCTTATGTAACATAATTGTAATGTACTTTTTTAATAATTGGCATGAATCGCTATATATTGAGCCATTTAATAGTTTATACTTATTATGAAACGTTATTTATAAGACAAAATTCTGAATTTCTGATTAAATGAGTTTTGTTATGCATATATATCAAGACCAATTATGTCCATTTACAATCTTTAACTTTAAATTACTACTATCATTAAAGCATCTAATACTCCACCAATCAAACAAAGACCAATAAAGTTCCCAAGCACGCCAATCGCGTCTTCCAACATTATCATGACTTTTCAATTAAAGTTTCAAAAAATATATTGAAAATAATATATGCACTATGTAGGATTGACTAGTTTCTTCCATGCCAAGAACCATTCCATGATTTTGGTCATTTTGATGGCCCTATTGAAAAACCAGTGCACTTCTAGAAGGTTTCTCTTCATCCCATTTTCCTAATATAGCTGAAAAAATACAGTTTTGTGCGCTACAGAAGTGTTAGCTAGAGTTCCTTCCTAAGTCCTTCCATGGCTAGAATCTTCCCAATTTTGGCTACTCAAGTCACCATCTTCTTCATCCTCTCTTTCTTCACCATAAAAATTTAGCCCTAAGGGATAATGATACCTTTGTTAGAAGCATGGACAGGAAGCTATTAGGTGTGAAGAAAGAAAAACTCGGTCACTTCCGTCTCTACTGGCACGACATAGTCAGCGGCCGCAAGCCCAGTTCAATCCCAGTTGTCCAATTCGTCAACTCTTTTTGGGTTGATCAACATGATTGACAATCCCCTGACGCTGGGGCCAAAACTGAGTTCCAAGATGGTCAGAAAGGCACAAGGGTTTTGCTCCTCTGCTTCGCAGGAGGGAGTCGGGCTGTTGATGGCCATGAATTTTGCTTTCATCGAAGGGAAATACAATGGAAGCACGATTACAATCCTGGGAAGGAACCCAGTGTTTGCGGAGGTGAGGGAGATGCCGGTGGTCGGAGGAAGTGGACT